CCAGACAGCACCAAGATGCCTTTGGTGCAGGTTCCCAAGGAAGGAAGGAAACTGTAAAGGAAGCGCTAGCCGCTGGTGCCGATACTCCCAAAGAGGCTGGGCAGCCCTTGGCAGGGGCAGAGGCTGAGGACTCTCGCACAAAGTCCAAGCAATCAGGACCCACCATGGTTTCAGCTAAGCCAGCAGACAGAGGCTCTCAGCCCCAGGCCAGGTTTCAGCAAGAACCCCAGGCCATCCCTAACAAAGGTCAGGATTCTCACCCAGAGGTAAGAAATGAGGTTCCCCGAGGGGTTCACATACCTGCTGAGGGTCAGCAAGGAGGAAAGGGGGGTGCCACCATCCTGGAGACAAAGAAGAGGCCAGATATAGCTGTGCCGGAGGGTCAGAAGCCAGAGAATGTCAAACCCAACCGAGACCTGAAAGTGCAGGCTGGCTCTGACCTGCGGAGGAGACGGCGGGATCTTTCCTCTCACCCAGAGCAGGAGCTGGCTCCGAAGGATGGAGTCCTCATTAGCTTTAACTCCCTGCCCAACGTACAGGTGAACGACCTCCGCAGCGCCCTGGACTCCCAGCTCCGGCAGGCTGCAGGGGCTGCCTTACAGGTGGTACACAGCCGGCAAATCAAACAATTGCCTGGAGAGCTGGAAGAAGCCTGAGAACCAGGCATCGGACAGTAGCTGGTGCTATCCAGCCACACCCGATTGGAGGCCACCTTCTTATGTGCCCAGACATCTTACTACTCTGTGGAACACTTGCTTCAAGGCTCTGTCAGGGCACTCACTTGCCCAGGTCGGTCTTGGAAGGGCAGCATCGAGGGTCAGCCCCGCAGCTGCACAGTGGCAGTGCCTGCCTGTCCCGATTCACCAGCAGCAGCCCTGATAGCAGGGCGGGCAGGCACAGCCTGTCACAGCCACTCTTGACTTGATGTCCCATATTCTCCTTGGTGTGGGAAACCTGCCGTAGGCGACTCTGTCTCCCCACGGGGAGGCCCAGGATTGGGTATGATTTGGGTTGGGAGGAGGAACATGGCCCTCCTGGTTTCCTGTCATCCGCATTCTTTGAAATTGATTATGAAACAAAAAATAAAACACCACTAACATCTAGGGAATCAGTTGGTTTACCTAAAGGATCCTGGATGGCACCAAACAGGGCCTTGAGGTCATGGGGTCCCCTCAACTCAAGATGGGTGAGCACAGCTGGGGATCCCACAGGCAGCTCAGTCTTCTGTCATGCTGATCCCTGCTGTAGGGAGGAGGTTCAACAGTGGCTCACTCACCACCAGGACAGGAGGAGGTTCAACAGTGGCTCACTCACCACCAGGACAAGGGGGTTGAACAGTGGCTCACTCACCACCAGGACAAGGGGGTTGAACAGTGGCTCACTCACCACCAGGACAAGGGGGTTGAACAGTGGCTCACTCACCACCAGGACAAGGGGGTTGAACAGTGGCTCACTCACCACCAGGACAAGGGGGTTGAACAGTGGCTCACTCACCACCAGGACAAACCTTGGGATGCCGCATGGCCTCAGACTCAGGGTAGAGCTGTCGGGGCGGAACACATGATGGTGTTGTCTTTGAGCAGAGACAATGTTTTGTTTTGTCAACCCCTTGCCCAGTAAGAGATTGAGGGACAAGAATCTGGTTTGTCCCCATGAAGGGCTTGGAGGGCCCTGGAGTCTCAGTGGGGTCATAGGTGAGCCAGGCCACACCCCACTGTGTGCTCTCTCTGCATGCATCTCTTGGGATGTATTTTATTATTTTTTTAATTTAGATTTTTTTATGTATATGAGTGTTTTGTTCACCCATATCTGCATCAGATACATGCGGTGCCCTTGGAGGTCTGGAGCAGGAGCTACGAACGCTTTGAGCTGCTGGGAATCAAACCTGGACCCTCTGTGAGAACAGTGCCATTCAGACACTTATCTCTCAAGATGTCACTGGACAGCTTGAAAACCAGCAGATGGCAGCAGTGGAAGCTTCCAGGGGCCCGCTGCAACTGCACTGGGCGGACCAAGTGTGGCTCACAGAGGGACCCGCCAATGGAAGGCAGGTCTCAGGCTTCCTCGCAGCCTTTCTGACTAAACACGCTTCCAGATGAGCGATTATTGGATGGTTAGATGTCATCTTGTCATCCTCTTGGACTGTTGTAACTCTCGTCCCCTTGCTGGGACTGGGGTTTCACACAGCTTGATTTTTTTGACTATCCCCTTGACATGGGTTCTTCCTGGTCTGCGTCTGCTGTAGAGCAGGTGGCGCTGCCCCTACCCTAGCTCTGCCTCCTAGCTGCCCCCCTAGTCCTTGTCCAACAGCCTTCAGATGAGAATACTTCCTCCAGAAGGCACAGACCGGCGGGTGGGGGCTTACTGCTGAACTGCAGAAGGGCTGAAGGAGACTGCACCTCCATCTGGGTCCTGTAAGGCTGGGGCACCAGGGAGCCACCTGCCAGTGCAGTCTTTAGGTGTTGGGTCACCTAGTGTAGGCTACTGCTATGTGGTGCCTGCCTGTGATGGTTCTGCTGTAGAACAGGTACTCTTGGTTGCCGTGCTACAGCCAGGGATGCTTCTGTTCCTGGGGCAACAGCAGGACAGGAACATAGAGGAGCTCAAGTTCTCAGCAACAGACGTGGCTGTGCACACCTTTAATCCTAGCACTCCAGGAGGATCTCTGAGTTCAAGGCCACCCTGGTCTACAGAGTGAGTTCCAGAAAAACAACAAAAAGGAACAAGAGATCTCATCTGAGGCCAAGACATCTGCTGTGGTTAAGTGTGGCCCCTCTAAAGCTCGGGGCTTCCAAGTAAGTGTACCAGGAGGCTTTAAGAGCTTAGGATACAAAGGTACACCCTTACTGCGGCATCTTTTGTGCTGTGTTCTCAGGTCCCCTGAACATTCAGCAGGAGAGCCTCACAGTACCGACCTTTAGCCTCCGGGCTTCCAGGCTGTGAGGAATGCATTGCATTCTTTGTAAACCCCTAGTTCAAGGTTCTACTCACAGCCCAGTGGACAGGAACTGGGGATCATGCACAACCTTCAAGAGCATGCCTCTGCAGTGACCTACTTCCTGAAGTTTCTAGAACCTCCCAAAATAGAACCACTAGCTGGGGACTAGTCCATGGGAATTGGGTTTGGGTGTGTGCAGGAATCTAATATTCAAATGATGATGGAGTGGAGGCCAGGCTGCGGAGTTTGTGGGCCTGGGCTGTGCTGGGCCGGGAACGGCAGTGGATGTCTGCCTGCCACTTCAGAGGGGAGGATGAAGAGACAGCAGGAGAGAACAGTTTGCCAGACAAGCTTGGGGGACCTGAGCTCAGTGGGGCTCAGAGTTGGAAGACTTGAGGAAGATGGAAGGAGCTGTACTCTGAGCTGTCATGAGGACTTCAGGATGCTGTGACAGGCTGGGAAGGTGGTGCTTCTATGGAGGGCAACCTGGTATCCCTGGGCAACCGTCCAGTCACACCATCAAGTCCCTTGAGAACAGACACTACTGTTCATTGAGACAGAAACTAATTGACCTGGCTCTCTGCAACAGCCAAGAAGTCGTGTCTGGAGGTGGACTCAAGAGTATCTATCACACAGTTTCCTAGAGGCTGAAGAGATGGCTTCTCTTAGAGAAGACCCAGGTTCGATTTCCATCATCCATGTGGTGGCTCATAACTACCTCTAACTCCAGTTCCAGGGAATCCAACATCTTGTTTGTGCCCTACTCCCCCACACACATCTAAAACACCCATAAACGTTAAATACATTTCAAACTAGAAAATCTGGCTTTTCTCAGCCTGCTAAGCCAGGCCAGTTCCAGAGTAGCAGTTGGATGCCGCAGGGAGGCCGATTTTGGCGTAAAGTGTAGGGCAGGCTGGTCTCTGGCCCTCTTCCCAGAACCCAGGCTCTGAGACAGGTGCAAACTGGTTCAAGGACTGCAGCGCGACCTCCACTCCTAGAAGTGGGAGCGAGCACTTCCCATGCTTCCCAGCAGGTGGCACTCATGCACGCGGAATCCCTTGCTGCGTTCTGCTTTTTTGTTGTTTTATGGTATATTTAACATTATTTTTATGTGCATTGGTATGAAGGTGTCAAATCCCCTGCAACTAGATCGTAGACAGTTGTGAGCTGCCATGTGGGTGCTGGGAATTGAACCTGGGTCCTCTGGAAGAACAGTCAGTGCTCTTAACCACTGAGCCATCTCTCCAACAACCTTTGTTGTTGTTTTGTTTACAGGGTTTCTCTGTAGCTTTGGAGCCTGTCCTGGAACTCCCTCTGTAGACCAGGCTGGCCTCGAACTCAGAGATCCGCCTGCCTCTGCCTCCCAGGTGCTGGGATTAAAGGTGTGCTTACACTTTGAATTTTTAAACTTACCATATGAAGAGGGGAAGAAGGAAAGCCAGGAGCCATCACCCGGGACAGCCTGCAGGGATGGCTGTTCCCGCACTGCAAGTCCGAAGCAGAACCTCCTTGTTTTTTGTCCAGAAAAGCCTCTGCATGGCACTTGTCACACTGGGCTCACTCCCCTTGTGCGGTTGCTGAGGCATCTTCGGTGTTTTGCCCATAAGCAGTTGGACCCAGGGCCTGGTGTGAGGCCAGGGCTAGACTGAGACTAAATACTTTTGATGAGAACAGTTGGATTTTTTTTTAAAGATTTATTTAATCTTATGTTTTGCCTGCATTCATGTCTGTACCATGGGTGTGCCTGGTGCCTGCAGAGGCAAGAAGAGGGTGTTGGGTGCCCTGGAACTGGAGTTAAGAGATGGTTGTGAGCTGCCATGTGGGTGCTGGCAACTGAACCTGGGTCCTCTAAGAAAGCAATGAATTTTGATTTAACTGTTGAGCCATTTCTCTGGACCTTGGTGAGAACAGTTCTAAGTGGGATCTTTTGGTAGAGTTCTATGGTCCAGACCTGCCACCTGCTTTTTTTGGGAGGAGAGGGGCAGGTGTGCTGAGGATGCATTGTTCTTGGGAGAAACCAGTTCCGTACACCATGCTCTGCGTATAAAAACCTGAAACTGTGCCGAATTAAATAATCTTCATTGCTGTTTCTGTTACATCTTAATCAACCCTGCCCTGCCCAAGGTTCAAGCCTAGAAGAAACAAACACCAGGACCGCCGCCGGCCACACCTTCTTTCAGTCCCCAAAGCTCTCCGTGTGTCATCAGTATAAGGCGCCTGTGCCCACAGGTGCCTCCATCAGGTCTTCTTGGCCTGAAAGAGAAAGGGTCAATGTCCAAGTTAGCTATGGTTTAAAAGCCCGACACACCCACATCAAATACAGCGGTCTCCAAACACCTTAAAGAGCTGAGGTGCTGGTGTGTACGTGGGGCACCTGAGCTCACCTAAAAGATGAAAGCCTGGACCCTGTGACTGAGTGGACGTTCTACTGGGTGCTGTTTCTGCATTAGCCGCCCTCGGTAACACTCGTGGCGCTCCGGGAGGCGGCCAGCACTAGTGTCGTTCTAGGAACCTATCCTAGAATGAGGACCTAAGACTTCTGCAGTCCAAGTCCCCATTATGGGGCGGCACCCACCAAACATCGGAAAGGGAAAGCCAAACGGGTCGCGCCCACCTACCGCGGCGGCGAAGCAGCTCCTCAGGGCCTCGAACTCGCGCGCGCACAGGTCCTTCCTCAGGCGGCCTCCGGGGGCGGTGGAGGCCTGCACGCACCTGCCGTACGCCGAAGCCTAAGGAAGACCCGACGGTAGTGCGGCCTCCCCAGGGCCGCCATCCTCCCCACCTCCGGCTAACCGGCTCGGCCCGCTGCTTACCTCGGCCCCGCAGGCCGCCAGATGCTCCGGGAAGGCCCGGAGGCGGCTCCGCACGCGCCCCCAAACGGCTCCGTTGGCGGACATGAGCGGTTCTCCCCGGCTCCTGTGGACGCCGCCATATTGGCTCCCGCCTCTTCCGGCGTCGAATTGGCAAACATCCGGCCCCTCCGCCCATATTGTTTTCTGATTGGTCAGAGTCGCTGGCCTGTTCTTCTGTCATTGGTGTTAGTGCTTGTCCGTCTCTAACTGGGACTTCGGATGGGCCCCCTTCCTGAGACCGATTGGCTGGAGGAGCCAGAGCTGCGCGGTGATTGGAGGAGCGAAGCCTGGCGGAAGCGGGGCAGGCTGGGGGGAGTTCCTTGGACCATGGCGGCGGCGCCGCCGCTCCGGGACCGCTTGAGCTTCCTCCAGAGGGTGAGTGAAGTTCGCAGGGGCTGCTGACACCTGGCGCCCGGAGATCTCGCTAGGTTATCGGGGACGGGCTGCCCAGCAGCTGCCGAGAACGAGCTAGCCTGCTCTGCCAGGAGGACTAGGAGGCCAAGGGCGGCGGGCGATCTCCGGCGGGGCCGGCTCGGCTTCCCAGGCTTCATTCCTGAGAAAGATCCTGGAAACTCGTACATCTCAGGAGGACAGGAGTCATCTGAAAGGCCATAGCTACAGGGTGGGGAAGGCGGAGCCTGTTGTCAGTGTTATACCCAGATCACGGAGTCCCCCAAAACCAACCAGGAGACCCGAGTCCTGTGTGTAAAAGCAAAGGGCCTTTATTCTTACACAAGTTTGCAAACTCAGTCTCTCCGTGTGTCCAACGTATTGTAGGGGTCGGAGAGCCCCGAGCTCAGTTAGAGCTGGGTTTTTATAGTAGCAGAGGTGGGGTTGAGGGGTTTATAAGGTTCAGGACCCCTGATTGGCTGACATTTGTCTAGGGGTGTCCTGGTGAAAAGCGGTGGGTGTGTGCTGGTGGGTGATCCTATCCACAACAGGTTGGAACGTTAGGAATTCTCTTGGACTGCCTGTTCCTGGGTAGTCTCAGTTTGTGGTTTTTGTTGGAACCAGGTGTTGATTGCCTCAGGGTAAACCACCGAAACTCAGGCCTCTGTTTAGCTTGTCAAGGCTGGGCCCTATGGTCAGCTGATGAAACAAGCTGACTGCCCTAAGCTTCCTGACTGGAGCTTGAGGGTGCTGAGTGGCCCCGGGGACCCTTCTTAGGAAGCCATGCTGCAGGAAGTCAGGCCTCTTTTGTAGAGGCTGGGGCAGGTTCTTATGTACTGAACTCTGCAGAGCGCCTCCTCCATCCCTGTGGACAGAGAGCTTGGTGAGGCTGTGTGGGACCCTAGCAGCAACTGTCTGAAATATTCCCAAACCCCACCCTCTTGCCCAGATACTGAGTCATGAGAAACACGTGTTTACAAATTTCAACCTAATAAACATTATACACTTGCCAGCAGGCTAACATGGCCATGGTGATGCATGACTATGTAGAATTTAAGTTAGCCATTCTTGAGGAGCCACGAAACCCATCAGGCTGAGCAGTTCTAACTCGTTGGGTCTGGTACTGCACCCGTCCAGTACATGGAAAGCCCTGAGGTTCTTGCTGCTGCTGGTTGATAAATGGGTGTATTTAAAATATCCTTCCATTTAGGAAAGTAAGAGGCTGGGGGCTAAACTTCATCTTGACCTTAGGGAGCCCGCATTGATTTCCCTCTTTCCTGGGGTCACTCATCCCTGCCAGAGCCTGGCTAAAGCTGTACTAGGGTGATTCTGGTCCCTCGTAGGCAGTCTCCTGGGCATTTTTAGTGCCAGTAAGCTTGAGACTTGCTTCCGTGTCATTTGGTGGCTGGGATCTACCCTGTGTAAGGCGGCAGCTCCTCACGATCCTCATTCCTCTTCAGCTCCCCATTCTCTTGAAGGGGACCTCAGATGATGACATCCCATGTCCAGGCTACCTGTTTGAAGAGATTGCCAGTATCCTTCTGTACTGTTCACGTTGGCAGGGGCAGGGGAGAGTAAACATGGGCATCCTGTCGTAGCAGGAAGTGTTATCGGGACAAGGGTGGGTTCTTCTGCTATCCCAGGAGCACCAAGTTCTTTTTCCCAGCATTCAGATATATGTGTCAAGGGTGTGCTAAAAGCTGACGTACCAATGGTGTAGAGCCCAGGACACTCTAAAAGTTCCGGTGTTGGGGAAACCAAAGCCTGCGGTAATGGTCTTCAGGCCGTGTGACCTAAACAGGGTCATGGTCACAGGAGGGAGGATTTGTCTCGCCCGGTGGGTCTCCTGTCTGTCTGCTTCTTCCTTAACCCAGATAACTCTTAGAAATTTCCCACGAGTCCCTGGGCAGCAGCCAGTGCCTGCTAGAGTACCTTCTGAACCGCCTGGACAGTAGCTCTGGCCACGTGAAGCTCAAGGTGAGTCCCCGAGTAGTGGGCAGCAGACCAGGGCTCAGCCACTGCCCAGCCAAGGCCAGCCCCAGGAATCTGTCCACTCTCCAGGTGCTGAAGATCTTGCTTTACCTGTGTGGTCATGGCTCTTCCTCATTCCTGCTCATCCTCAGACGAAACTCTGCTCTCATCCAGGAAGCCACAGGTATGCAAAGACACAGGTGCCCAGGCAGGCAGCCCTGGGTGGGGAGACATAAGCCTCAGTGCTGGGCTTGGGGCTTGGGGTCGCTGTTGGTCCAGGCTTATAAATGGAAATGTGTCTGGGCTGGAGGGGCCCACTGAGGGTCTCTGGGGAGTGGCTCCTAGCCCTGGAAGGATGAGGTAGAACTGCCATGGGCAGGGGCTGTGCCATGTGCAAGGGAAAGCTTGGTGGGATGGAAGAAAATCCGATTTTCCACGATGGAAGCTTTTTAGCAGAGGGAATTTAGCTCAGGCCACACCAGCCTAGGAGTCAGTGGATAGATCCTACCTGTAAGGCCCTGATAGAGACCTCAGGTCTACCATCCAGGCCCTGAGAAACCTCTGAAAGGTTCCTGCTGCAGGTAGGTGGGAAGGAATGGACCCAAGGAAGCAGTTCCTTCCAGGGTGTGGGCTGCAGCGTGGTCTCTGGCAGACAGAGTATTGTGGAGGTAGATGGTGGAGCTGCTGCTGTGGACGGTCAAGAGGCCATGTTTGAAGGTCCCGAGGAGGGGCTCAGTGTCACCCCGTCTGGGAAGGTTGGGTTTGACTCTGTGGGGCGTAAGCGGTGCCCGGGCTCAGCCTGTCCCGTCTGACTTTTGCCCTGCAGCTTTCTCGGGCCCCCCTGACCCTCTCCATGGGAACAGCTTGTACCAGAAGGTGCGGGCAGCTGCCCAGGTGAGCCCAGGACAGGACCAGAGCGCAGAACACAGAGTGGAGGGATGTCTGTGAGGGGCCTGCTGTGGTCCTGCCGCACAGAACGGGCTCTGCTCCTCGCCAGGCCACAGCCCCTGTGCCTGGCAGGGCAGCTCAGGACTGGTGTCTAAAGCGACAGAGCTGGTAGGGATGGGCCAAGGGGCAATCTCGGCTGGGACTCTGAGCGGCCACTTCTTCATTTAGGACCTGGGCAGCACCTTGTTCTCAGACGCTGTGCCACCACTTCCCTCCCAGCCTCCCCAGGCCCTGCCTCCAGCAGGTATGCCACTCTGGTGACCACCCCCAGCCACCATTGGGGGTGGGCTGGTCTGCATGGAGGCCTACACTGATGCCAGTGTCCTCTTTTAGGCATGGGTGCCCAGGCCAGACCTAACAGTGCTCTCCAAGGCTTCGGCTACACAAAGGCATGGGGCCGGACAGGTACGGCACAGGGCTCCTGCATAGGGATGTGAAGGGACCGGGGTCAGACCTCACTGGCATCTTATTAGCTTCTCCCAGATACACCACCTGTGGACCCACCTCCCAGTGCGCTCCCCTGTGCTTCCTCTGCCCGGCTGGGAGGAAGGCAAGGCAGGCTGGCCGGCTCTACTTGATGGACAGGGAGAAGCTAGACTTAAGTCCAGCTGGCTGTGTCGGCCTTTTCTGCTGCTTGAGGGGCAAGGGTACAGGCTGTGACAGGGACCTAGAGGGTCACCTGTGCAGGCTGTAACAGTGTTGTGTATGTGGGTACCTGTGCCATCAGACACTGGAAGTTTATTTGTCGAAGGTCTATAGAGTAGCACGTAATGGAGCAAGTAACCTCAGCTGTCCTTGGGGCAGAATGCAAGGCCGTGTCCAGCTGTGTCCAGCTGTGTGTTGTAGCTGTTACAGATGGGCCTTTGTGCATCTCCGGGGCCTCTGACTGATGCTTTCACTTGTCCCTTCTTCAAAAGCGAGGATGGGCCCCCGACACTCGAGTGAAGGGCCTGGGACATTTTCAGTTCCCGCAGCTCCCCTAGAACACCCTTCACCTTGGCTGCTGTAGACTAAGTGTCCAGACCACGATGCCCAGGATCTATGGTAGCAGCTCTGGTACCCGCAGCACATGCCTTTCCCTCCCTGGATCCGAGCAGGCAGTCGCCCTGGCCCCATCCTGGAGAGCCTGGCTGGAGGTAGGGAAGGTGGGCCAGGGTGCGAGCACCCTCTCCTGCTGATGCCAGCTTGCTGTCCGCAGGCTCTGCGGGCGAAAGCTTCCTCTCCACGATCCAGAGGGCTGCAGAGGTAGTGGCTAACGCTGTGCGCCCTGGGCCTGAGAATCCCAGCACCCAGGGGCCCTTGCCACACGGTGACACCTACCAGCCTGCAGTGACACCTTCAGCTGGCCACACACATCCCAGCGCTGGGAATCTAATCCTTGGGGCCAAAGGTATGGAGGCAAGGGTTGCTTCTCTGTGGATCTGGGTCATTCCTTTTTGTCAGGTGTGAGGGCAGGGAGTGAGACACTTTACAGATGTGGAGATGAATGTTAACGCTGCCCTGACTGCAGGAGCCCCAGGCTTCCTACCCAGCAGGAAGCACCCACCCATGTTGTGTGCCTGGAGTTTCTGGAGTTGCCCTGTAAGCTCAGGACACAGCCCCTTGTCTCCTAGGCCAGAGTCTGAAGGAGGCGGCATGAGGCCTGTGGAAAACCCTGGGGTCTTGTCTACCATTCTGTCTTTCAGCTGTGAGACACCAGCCTGGGCAGGCTGGAGGAGGCTGGGACGAACTGGACAGTGGTCCCAGTTCCCAGAATTCCTCTTACACCAGCAACCCGAGCAGGGCCTCGGACTCAGGCAG